TCCAAAAGCACGAACTCGAGATTTCGTCACAGGCAAAACGTCAACCTGAACCTTCGAATTTCGAAAAGAAAAAAAAAATGTATTCCGAGAATGAAAAGAAGTTAGGTTTTGTCAATTTCGACCTTATACGGGCTTTGTCCTATGGGTCCGAGTTTATTTGCTACGTGCACACTGTGTCCTCCAACTTTTGCTGGAGAATAAAGGAAAGTAGAACGCGATCCCTTCTTTTGCTGCTTCACAGGTACCACAGCGCCATCATCTGAAAATTGAACCATTCTCGAACGAATGTTAAAAATCCCCATTTAAGAAGAGAAACGGAAAGGAATGACAATTATTGTTACCTGCGAAGACTTGGACGGATAAATCATCTACAACTTCAGCGGTAGGACCCTTGACGTCAATGTGAACAGGAACCACATCGCCAACCCTGATCCCTTCGCTGTTGATGCCGCGGCCCCAGACAGAAAAGCTATCTGAATTGACGAGACTAAGCTTGGTTGCCAACTGTAAAACAGGTAGCTAACGTTCATCCTTTCTAAATTTAAAACGCTATTTGTCTATTTCAGCGCATATATCGTAACAATTTGGATTCGCCTCGAAAAATTGGGCCATCCAAGGGCACAGATGGCGATGAATTCAGTTATGTTTGAAGATGAGGAACGGATATTTCGGTGCAGATTAGTTCATCGGCGGCAGAGAGGGCAGAATTCGCAGAAGCAAAGATCCTCATAACAAGCAAATTGAAAGTTATACGAGACCATGAAAGGAGGTTTGGGAGAGACTGGAAGTTGTACGAGATCAACGAAAGGAAGATTGGGGGAAGATTTTGTCATCGGAAAGTAATTCATATAGGTGAAAAATTGGAAAAAGTTTCAATGCTATTTAAAAATGTTTTTCTTCGAGCAGTGGATCAGGACTGCATGCAACTACATATAACTTTGTGCTGCTGCAACCACTTTAATGTTATTCTCTGCCACTCTTTAGATGTCGCTCTTTTCTCACCCACAAGCTGAATGTGTACAATAAAAAAGATCTTAAGGAAGGGTATTTGATCTCGCTCGAGCATTATCTCGCCCTTTTTCGACACTACAAAATTCAATGTGTATTTCAGTGTTCCCAGATTCGTCCAAGCAGGGAATATGGAAACCATTTCGATCGCGATTTGTGCTTTCAGGGATGTATTCGAGCATTCAAGATTTGTTGTTCACATATGAGCTCAACGGAAACCGTTACAGACGTCGACCTAAAAATTACAGGGGTGGGTCGAGTTTAAAATGTTGTGGTAATTCGCCGCGAACGAAGTCGAGAAACTGGCAATAGAGATTACGCAAACCATGGGTCCACAAGTGAGATGGGAACGCAGTACACCAAACGTGTTCAACTTCGGTCACCGACCAAAATCATCAATTCTTCCGAAAACTCATAAACTCGAAAAATACTGCTGTATATTGGGAATAGTAAAGGCAAACAACTGCCGAGTGTGAAGAATATTCCACGCAGGCGGGGCCTACCGTAATACGAGAGAGTCTCACTATTAAGTTCGCAACTAGCTGTACGTTTCAAGACGGCGTAAAGAAAAACTTTTGAAGAAAAACTTTAGTATATGTAGATGTATGTAGCTCGAACTATCTAAAGGAGGAAAGGCACCCACCGCTTACGTTACAATACCCGAGACGTTTTCATAATTATACGCGGAATCACGCATCTAGTGCTCTTCTTACAGCTCCTAAACATTACTCATCCTTACTAAGGCCTTACATCAGTCTATTTGTCTGTCTGC